AAATGCGACAATATAGTCGACTACCTTAAAGCCACCTTTCCCGAAATCAAATGTGAATCTTTAACATCAAAGTTTCCCACTTTTTACTCTTCCTTTAAGTTGACTGTGGACCTTGATAACTTTGAGAAAGTTATGAATCCAGACCTTTGGCCTCAAGGCACTTACTTAGATAAATTCTACCATCCGAGGCCGAAAATTGGTACAACTGATAAACCCAACAAAACCGAAGAAGCAAAAGCTTCTTTTTTATAAAGAAGAGGCATGATAAACCTTTGCTTAAAATATGTCATGTAAATATACGATCCCTAATGCCATGTTTTCATGATTTTGCAAATTTTGTAATTTTAAATGAATTTCAATTGATAGGAGTTACTGAGACTTGGTTAAATAAAGATATTGCAGATAAATACATTGATATCCCTGGATATAACATCTTTAGAAAAGATAAAAGCACAAGGGGAGGTGGAGTTTGCTGGTACGTCCACGATAGTCTTAGTGCTAAGCAACATCAAATTGATTTCATGGTGGACAATAGGTTAGAATTACTATGGATCAATATTTGCATAAATAAAATTAAATATGCGTTTACGGTATTATATAGGCCGCCTGATAACTCAATCAATTTGGATGATTTTGATAAAGTTGTTAAAATAATGAACCTAGAGGCTGATAAGGTAATAATAGTGGGGGATTTTAACATAAACATGCTACAAAATTCTACTATAAGAAACCAACTACTAAATATTCTTGAAATTTATGATTTAAATCAAATTGTCAAAGAGCCAACCAGAATAACGGATTCTTCACAAACTTTAATAGACCTCTTTATATGTAATATGGACATAATATGTGAAAATATTGAATTGATAGATCTGTTGAACTTAACAGATCATAAACTTTTAAGCTGTATGCTAAATATTGCAGTACCCATAAACCAACCTAAAACTATAAGTGCTAGAGATTATCAAAATATAAACATAGTTGAATTTACACGTGATGCCTCTCTTATAAATTAAATAATGCATTGGTGTCGCTTCTAGATGTTTACGCACCATATAGAACTTTTACAGTGCGCAAGCCCAGGCACCCGTATATGACGTACAATATTATTCAGTTAATAAAGCTTAAAAATCAAGCATATAAACAGTTTATAAAACTAATACATTATCAAAATTTAACTATTATAAACAAATACGTAATTACCTATCTGAAGCTATCAAACAGGAAAAAAAATCTTATATATATTATCAAATAAATAATAATAAAAACAACTCTAAAAATATATGGAAATCTCTGGACCAACTTAATATCCGTCGTCGTAATACTAATCTTGCAATACCAGAAACAATAAACGCGGAAGACCTCAATAAATACTTTGTAGAATCAGTGCCAGATTCTACTATAGATGATGACCTAATAAATTATTTTTATTCAAATGCAAAGGCTAATTGTCCCAAATTTCACAAACTCCTAGAAGTTAATGAAACATCGGTTTTAAAAGCTTTTAAAAACATTTCCACCAATACTGAGGGTGTGGATGGGATAAATCTCAAAGCATGGAAACTAGTTATATCTCACTGCATAGGACCGTTAACGCATATTATAAATATGTCTTTGCAAAATGGTGTAATACCATATATATATGGAAGATTGCTAAAATAAAGCCATTACCCAAGATATCAAAACCGGAAAACTATAAAGACTTAAGACCAATCAGCATTCTGCCAATAGCATCTAAGATCCTGGAAAAACTAGTCCATGAGCAAATAATTGAACATGCCAGTATGTATATTTTACCCACCATTCAATCAGGTTTTAGAAAGCATCACAGTACAAATACTGCTTTACTCAAGATCACAAATGATATTGTCAAAGCAATAGATAACTCAGAAGTGACCTTACTAACACTGCTCGATTTTAGTAAGGCTTTTGATGTTATAGATCACAATTTACTGTTGTCCAAGCTAAAATTCTACCAATTTGAAACAGCAGTTATTAAATGGTTTAGTGAATATCTCAACAATCGGAGTCAATTTGTGGAAATTAATGGAAATATTTCTTCCTTGAAAAAAGTGTCCAGGGGTGTTCCTCAGGAAAGCATTCTTGGTCCCCTATTGTTCTGTATTTTTACAGCAGACATGTGCGAAACAATAAAACATTGTAAAATCCACCAATATGCGGACGATACACAAATATATAAATCCGTTAAACCAACATCCATAAATACAGCCATTCAATTAATAAATGAGAATCTCCACAACGTCGAAGAGTGGTCGACAAAAAATGGTCTTCTACTTAATCCAAGTAAAGCTTAATTTTCATGTATCCGTTTGTCCGTCATCCGTATGTCAGTTTTACAATAAAATCGTCCGATAAGAAATGTTCTAATTTTCATGCATACGTTTTTTAATGACGTTTAACGGATTGATTTTGCGACAAATAGAAATTAAGTGTCAGTATATTCACTTACTAAATTTACCTAATGCTTAATTGTCATAGTTACAATTATGTCAACAATTGTAACTTTAACAGTTAGCTGTCTAATACATTTAAAGATAGGTAAATATACCTTATAAAAAGAATATACCAGCCCTAATATACATTAAAATGTATAGTTTTAAAAAAGCAGGTCCTTTTAGTTCTAGTTTTAATTTTTTTTTGTTTGTCCTTTCTTTTTTTTCGTTATTCTTATTAAATAACAACTTAACAGTAAAACATTATTCACATAACGAACGTAATATTTTCGTTTTACAATCTTATTGAAAAAATATAAAAATATTTGAAAATAAATTATCTTAAAATAACGTTAGGCGTCAAAAACAGATGTTTAGTGACGGATGAGTTAAAATTATTTAACCTTTCTCTGTCAGACGTACGAAGTTGAAACTTGACGGACCGATAAAATGTCATAATTTTCGAATTATAATTGGACCAATAAGAGAGCTCCCGGATGAACGGACTGACGGACAAACGGATACATGAAAATTAAGCTTAAAACTGTCAGCATCTGCATAGGCACTAAATCTGCATAGGCAATAAATCAAATAGAGCAAAAGCTATATCTACTAAAATCTGTGATATTAAAATTTCTCAATCTGTGATACAATTTCAAGACTATGTTAAAAACCTTGGTGTAATAATCGACTGTGATATGAACTTTGAAAAACATGTTAAAAATTTACTTAAAAATGCTTACATAAAATTAAAATCTATTTACAGCTTTAAGTCATTCTTGTGTAGTAATGTTAAGTGGAAACTATGTAATAGCATCATACTTAGTAATTTTAATTATTATAGCAGTATTTATTTTTTTCATGCAACAAAAGCAACACAAAAATCCATTCAAAAGCTGCAAAATTGTTGTCTTCGTTATACCTATAATATTATATTTAGGGATCCTGTAACTAGTCATTATGTAGATAAAAATATACTGAAATGTGATAAACAATTTTTTTGTCAATATGCTGTCTTAGTGTTTGTTATAATTAAAGCTAATCTACCATCATATTTATTGAATTTGTTAGTACGTCGAAATCAGTGTCATAATGTTAATGTGCGTAATAATAGTTTTTTAACAATTCCCAGTCACAAAACTAGCAAATTTGAAAGTAGTTTTGAGTATTTGGCTGCAAAAATTTTTGTATAAACCTGTTTAACGAATGTAATACTCCCTTAGCATTAAAACATAAACTTAGGACTAAATTGTTACTGGAGCAAAGTTTGTTAACATAGCATGTATTGTATTTCTGGTTGGAGTGGTAGAACAGTTTAACTAAACTCTCACCTTTTGTATGTAATGTAATGTGATGTAATGTAATGTTATTTATATACAATAAAGATATTTATTATTATTATTATTATTATTATTATATGTAAAATAGTGACAGACATACCTTATTGCCGAAGGTTTCGTGTGCAATGGCAAACTGGCCGATTAATCAACGGACCTTTGCTGTATTAGGCTTACCCTGACCCAGTCCTTCGCAGAGACGCTTTCGTCGTGAATATAATTGATGTTATAACTAATATTATCTGCTCCAGTGGCTTGAGATTTAATAGGTTTTTCCTACTTCCACCTTTAAAACGCCCATTATTGTACATGTTTCCATTACACTAAGTGACCTTTTAAATACACATTGACAAGTTGTGGCTTTATGGTGTTTTAGTCACGGGCTAAGGTTAGCAACAGGTTTTTAGGCACGGGATGAAGTTAGCTTTAAGTTGGTTGATGGTTGTCAAATCTCATACAATCGTACTAAACTATTTATAACTTAAATTTGGGCTCGGAATCCATCGTGAAGTGCTCATAAAACATTTTCTTCACTTTCACTGCAAAAAACTGTTGCTAATCCATTTTTAAAAGATACCTTTTGATTTATAACACTAAAAAATTTTACATTTGACGGTAACACAGATTCCCCTATTGTTTTATAGATGTCGCTCTATGCAAATATTTAATTTAAATCATTTTTAGATAATAATAAGTATTTGTCGTAAAAAAGTATGCAACTCGTTTATAAACTTTTCTAGACACTCATTAATTTAAGCAATCGCTCGCAAGCTCGCTCGTGCCTAAATTAAATTTTTAACTAAAATGGCGTTTATCAAACTTGATACATAATATACTATTATAGCTTTGAGAATATCGTCATTTGTATTTTCTTAAATTTAAATTGAACATTGTTTATAAGGTTTGTTCTGTAAAATGCTAAGATTTTAAACTATGACAACATAATAAAATTCTACCGCAATACACGTTTTCTTATAAGCATATGTCTATACCATGATGATTTGTATATTCGTGTATTTTGATGAGCACTGCCTATTGAACAGTGGAATAAAATATAACGCCTAAAAACCAGATAAATTATGAATTTAAATTTTGTTTATTACCAAAAATCTACAGTTTACATTATTGCTGTTTACAATTTTTTAATTACAAAGTGCAAAACAAAATTTTAAACCAGACCTAATTATAGTAGATAGTAGAGCTGGCAACAATGGCGACACCTGAAGATTTGTTTACGGAATTGAATAAGTTGAAAAAAGACTGTTTAATTGACTTTTTAATTAACAGAAAAGTTCCAACTAATATTGTTGTAAGTGATTCAGTAAGAAGGTTGGTGGAATGCAACGAAAATAGTGAACTTGTTGACAAATCACGTGAAAGTTCGAATATAACCTCAAAAGGTTTCAACGACGATGTGCGTATTTTGAAACTGGAATACGAGCTTCAGTTGTCAAAAACAGAGCTAAAATGTTCTAAAAAACTAATGGTTGAATATGAACGTTCAATAAAGAATCAACAAATAGTAATTGATATGTTTAAAGACACTACTAAAAATCAAATAGTATCCAGCGTTGCCACTGGACCCTCTTTTTCTCAAAAATCGAAGAAAGAGGAAAATATTCAAGATCAGAAAAAAATTGTGAAAAACAATAAAGATGAAAATTTAAATCAGGAAGGTATGCAGAAGAAAATTGTTAGTGATCAAGATAATTCAAAAAACACCACAAAAATCGTTATGGGTAGTGGTAAAACATCTACTCAAAGCTTTTCATTAGCATTAAAGAGAGCATGGTTATATATTGGAAAGATTGTTCTTGGAACAAAAGTAAAACAGATCGAGGAACATCTTAAGAATACATTTCCAGAAGAAAATTTTATATTGGAAGAACTTTCATGTCATAAGGAGTCTTCAAGCATGTCTTTTAAGCTTGGTGCAGATATTAAACTCCTGGAACAGTTGAACAATCCGCAATTATGGCCGGAAGGAGTTATAGTGAAAAGATTTTTTTTCGTAAATACTAAAACAAATACACAGGAACACAAAAAAAAGTTTAATATTTTAAATATAAATATACAGTCTTTAAATAAAAAAGTACATGCACTTAGTCAAATTTTATCAGAGCAAAACATTAACATCGTTTGTATGACAGAACACTGGTTACAAAATGAAGCTATACAACATCAAAGCATCTCCAATTTCACATTTGGCAGTTGCTTTTGTAGAGAAAAATCAATTCATGGCTATACTGGTTAAAACAGGTATAAAATTTGAAGAACTCTCTGAAATAAAAAAATTGTCAAGCGAATTAAGCATAGAATTAGCTGCTATAAACTTACCAAAATTAAAAATCATTATTGTTTCAATATATCGATCTCCAAATGGTGACATCAATGTTTTCATGGAAAGGTTAAATGAGGGTATAACAATATTATCTGAAAAATATAATTCACATATTAACTATCTATTTATCTGGTGACTTTAATATTGATTTTCTAAAAAATTCTCAACTTAAACGTGATCTGGTAGAAAATTTGGAATCATTTGGTTTATATATGGTATTTAATGAGCCCTCCAGAGAATTTAATAGGTCATCCACTTGCATTGATAATATCTTCACAAATGAAAATAAATATATGAAAAGAACTATCGACTTTAACCTATCCGATCATTATTCACAAGTAATTACTATGGAAACTTTAAATATAATGCCTAGAAAAGTTGAAATTATAAAAGTAAGGACATTTAACATAAAAAATATCTATGTTTTCTCACATTATCTAAAACAACATGTTTATAATATGGAATTTTTTAACTTCTGTTTTCCTGAAAAAGAAAAAAAAATTAGTAAAAATAATAAGAATTTAAATGTTGAAAATTTAGAATGAGAAATGCACTACATGCCCTGGGAATTATTTCGAAGGTATTAAAGACGAATATAATATAATATAAACAATACAAATCATATAAGGAATTTTACTTTGAAGAACTTAATGAATACAGAAAAAATCAGAATTCGTTGGAAATACAGAACTCGACCAATCCCCAAAAAGCAATGTGGAAGGTTATAAATGAAACTAATAGGAAAAATAATATTTGTAATGAAGTATCCACTTTAACTCCAGAAAAATTTAATTCTTATTTTAAAAATTCTATAGATGATGCTTTGAAAAACATACCACCTGTCAAAAAAACATCAATAGAGTTATGGAATAAAATGAGTACACCAGTAAACTATTCATTCTACTGTAGCAATGTAACGGAAACCGAAATATTTAATATTATAAAAAAATTAAAGTCCAAAGATACCCAGGATATATATGAATTAAATACAAAAATTTTAAAAGAAGTTGCAACTTATATTTCAAAACCTATTTTCGGAATAGTTAATAAGTGTATTGATGAAGGAGTATTAAAACTAAGACTTTTAGAATATTTTGAACAAAAAGGTCTTTTAAATGAAGAACAGCATGGATACAGAGTAAATAGGGGAGTAGATACAGCCATCAATAAATTATTAACAAAAATTTTAAGTGCTCACGATGAACTTTTAGACATTGAAATGGCTTGTTGTGATCTAAGCAAAGCAGTCACAATTTGTTACTAGAGAAATCAGATAAATATGGAATTAGAGGTTAATGCCAACAATTATTTCAATCATATCTTTCGGGTAGATGCCAAATTGTAAAGTGGAAAAATAAATATTCAAAAAAAAAACTAGTTCACCATGGAGTACCTCACGGGTCAATACTGGGTCCCATTTTATTTATTATTTATAGAGACCGGATAAATAAGCACAATTTTTAAAAAAAAGTGCTTAAAAAAGTATTAAAATATTAAATAAAAAGCTCTTAAAAAGCATGAAATTTGCCAAAAAAGCACCAAATAAGCAAGTTAATTAAAAATAATTAATATATAGAGGCAAAAAAGTTGTAATAATCTTAATATTGGTGTCAGGGCCGGATTAAGCCAAAAGGGGGCCTGGGGCTAAAAAATGTTGAGGGCCCTCAAAGTTCTTTATTAAAAGAAAAATGTAATTTTTAGTAATAATAATAAAAAGCCAATAAAAAACAACTTAGGTATTTATTATTGATCTTTACAACGATTTTTTTCGAGCTTTTCTATTAGAAAATTCGTCAATTAGATCATCAAAGTAATAATGAAGAAAAAAGGTCATTCTCAATATTCATTAAAGTTAAATGAGATAATCTTTCATCACCCATGCTAGCTCTATATTTGTTTTTTATAAATGAAAGTTTTTAAAATGACCTTTCTGTTTCACAATTTGTTATTGGAATGCATAAATAAATTCTTAAAGCTATATAAATTTTTGGAAATACTTCTAATAAATCCTTTTCAATTAAAAGGTCTAAAAGGAAAGGAACACTAATTATATTTTTGCCATTTAAAGTTTTTAAATATTCAGAAAATTGAAGGAGTTCAAGAACCAAGTTTTTATCTAAATCGTCGGAATAAAGATCAATTACGTTTAAAGCTTTGTCAGTTATCTCATTGGAAGAAAGGGTGGTTAAGTGACCAAAAAATCCAAACATATCGCTTACTTCTTTGTAAGCTTGGCTACTTTTTTTCAGCTCAGATGTTATTTTATCTATCATCGGTAGGTACGATTCTATTCGAAATTTATCTTGACCTTGTCGTGTTGTTTCTGTTGAGCCGTCGGCTAATTTTTTAATAACATTACGTTGATACTCATCTTTGTATAGAGTATTTAAAATCGAAGACATAGCTTTTGCTTTTTTCTCTAATGATTCAAATTGGCCTCGTAGGTTGCAAACAAACTCTAGTAATGACACTAACATTTTATGTCCTGTTATGACACCAAGACCCGGTTTTTGCAAGTACTTACTGGTGGTATCAAATCTCTCCAATAATTCATTCCAGAAAGTAGCCATAAAAGCGTTTTCTAAACTTATCATTTTTTTCTTTAAAAAAAATGCGTCATCCTTCGTATCTTTTTTTTCTAATGGGTTTTCAGCCAATTGTTTTAAAGCATTAAAAATGCCATCATAATTGCTGACAAGGGACTTTACTGCTTGTTCGCGACAGGACCATCTTGTCGCAGAAAGTGACTTTACAACCAATACATTCCTGTGTTCACCATTTTCTTCGTTCTGTTTCTTAATGTTTTTAATTAAAATTTCCCAGCGATGAGTAGATGCACCAAAAAACGCATATAATTTCTTCAAAAAGCCGAAGCTTCTACACATTCATCCACGCTAGATTCTCCGACTAAATTTAGTGAATGAGCTGCGCAAGGAACATAACGGGCAAGTTTATTCATTTTTTTAATTTCAGCTTGAACACCATTATATTTACCAGACATATTACTAGCATTGTCATAGCTTTGCCCTCTACAGTTCTCAATTTTCACGGAGTTTGTACGTAAAAGAGATAAAATTTCGTTCGCAAGGGATTTTCCTGTGTGACTATGAATGGGAACAAAACAAAGAAATCGTTCTATAACTTTTCCATTTAAACAGTATCTGAATACAACAGACAGCTGATCCACATGTGAGAGATCAGGTGTGGAATCTACTATTATGGAATAATATTTTGCCTCTTTAATTTCAGTTATAATTGTATTGTAAATTTGTTTGCCCATACATCTAATTATTTCTTCATATATGGTCTTAGAGATGTAGGATACTCTGCCTTTGCCCTTCTGCCCAAAATTTTTCAAATGTTGATATAAAAATGGATCAAACTTTGAGATGAGTTCTAAAATTCCTAAATAGTTTCCATTATGTGAAGAACCTAATCTTTCGTCTTCACCTCGAAAAGCCAGACCTCTTTCAGCAATAAATTTTATAACCTCAACAATACGTTTAAAAAGGTTTTTCCAATACTCAATTTCTTTGTCCATTGATTTTGTAATTTCTTCATCTATTTTGGAAGATGTGGAATGCGTTTTCCATGTTAAAAGGTTTTTACGATGCTCCAAACTATTTTCGTGAGATTTTACTTTTTCTTCTGCCTTTTTCCAATCAGAAAACCCGGTTACAAATATTTTTTTCTGATCTGTGCAAAACAGTTTGCAAATAAAGCAATAAACTGATCCGTTTGATTTTGAATACATTAGCCACTTTCTTACATATGACTCCCCGTTTGATTGCCGACTTTCGAACAGTTTTACTGACAATGACCGATTTTGTTTTTAGCATTTTCGAATTGATGCTTCAAACTTTCCATCATTATTTTGGAAGTAACCTGAACCTCTATTTAAGTAGGCTTGCCTCATACAATCACTAAATGTTGTAGGCCATAGGGCTGGATCTTGTTCAATTCGCATTTCTTGCGAATGGAAGACAACGCTTTCATTAGTTTCAGGCAGCTGTATTTTTTCTGATTTTTGTACACTTTTTTCCTCATTGCTTACACTTTCACTTGATAAACTGATATTGCTTGAAGTCGAACACGTAGGTTGTTCTTGACTAACTAACACATAATTTGAAGTTAAAGGGGTTTTGCTAATAGGGAAGACGTCTGTAAGTTTTAAGCTTTTATCATGTATGCTGCAGCATCCGAAAGCATCAATAGAATTTTTTCATTCGGAACCACCTCGGGCAAAAAAACTTGTTTAATTCCTCAAGAAATGTAAAAAAATATGGAAAAAAGTTTAAATAAGCACGAAATCGAAAAAAAGCATAAAACCTTAAAAAAAGCAAAAAATTAAGCAATAAGCATCATGCTTAAAATCCGGTTTTTAATTATTTATATGAACGATTTGCCTGCCAATGTTCCCAACTGTGATATGTGCCTTTATGCAGATGACACTTCTCTTTTATATGGTAGTGAAAAAAATAATTGTAAAGTAACAATCGTCAAAGAGTGGATGAGTGCCAATAAACTGTCATTAAATGTGGAAAAGACAATATATACGATTTTTCTGTGATCTAACCTGTGATATTAAGTTTTTAGGACTATTTATTGACAATAAGTTAAAGTGGAACATTCATATTGAACAGTTAACCAAAAAGCTAAATAGTGCAATATACTGCCTAAAAAAACTGATGAAACATGCTGATAAAACAACCGCGAAAACAGCATATTTTGCAAATTTTCATATCAAAATTAGTTATTGCATACTTTTTTGGGGTTTATCTTGTGAGTCTCAAAATGTATTTTCGTTGCAAAAAAAAGCGTTACGAGTAATATGTTCCATAAAACAGACAGACAGCTGTAGACAATATTTTATTTCAGAAAAAATTTTAACTTTTACTAATATATACATTTTATCGTGTTCCAATTTTGTGTATTCAAATTTAAAAACCTTTAAAAAGAACTCTGATTTGCATGATTACAATACAAGAAAAAAAGATAAACTCAAAACAGCTCTGCATAAATCCAAACTTACCCAGCAATGTATTGATTTTTGGGGTCCGAAAATCTTCAATCATCTACCAAAGAGTGTTCAGGAACAACCTTCAAAGAAAAAATTCTTTCGAGATCTTAAATCATTTTTGTCATTAAATCCTTTTTATAACCTGGAAGAGTTTTTTAATTATAAATTTTAAAGCATTTTTGTTTAATGTATATATGTTTATAATTTGTTAGTTTATAAACTCTTTGATTGTTTACTTACCTGTTTATATTTGTAATATTTTTTTTGTATTTATATTTTATCTACTATATACCAACCTGTACACCTGTTTATTTGACGTTTAATGTAATTTTTATAACTTAATAAACCTCTATTCTATTCTAATTAGTTACACTTTGCTTTTGAAGAAGCCAACATCGTTGGCGAAAAGTACTTTAAGCACTTTGTGTTTTGTTTTGGCGTTGTGGAATATTTCTAATATTTGTCAGACCTTATTGTTTTTTCAAGTATACTCCTCGCTGGTTTTGTAAAAGGCTTTTGATTTGTAAGTAAATTGTAAAGAAATATTGTTGCCAAGTAGTTTATTTTATTTTTAATTTTCATTTTATTTAAATTAACAATATAAGGAGTTATGTGATCTCTGTAAGGAACATGTCTGACAAAGCGGATAAATGCATTTGTATATTCGTGTATTCTGATGAGTACTGCTTATTGTCAATAAGTTATTGAACAGTGAGTTATTTTCTTAAATTACATTTGGCTTGGTAATTTTTCTAAAGTCTAGACATGATCTCCTTTAAAAAAAGTTGATGGTCGAAATAAACTTTAAACAAGCAGTCGATTACCTTGGTAAATAAAATAGTTACAAAACAGTAAATAATTATTACAAATATTTTTGTTAAATAATGTTTTTAAAAAGGGGAATGAAATATAACGCCTAAAAACCAGATAAATGAAGCATTTAAATTTTGTATGAGTATGAGTATGAGTATAAGAGACATATAACCGGCCCCATTGCCTCATCGCTCCCGGGCCCCGCATAGGCCTCTGTTTCCTTGCGCCGATTTTCTTTCGCCACCAGCAAAGGCGCGGCTTCACCCGTGTTTGCTAGTTGCGAATATTCATTGCGTCCCGTACTGTCCCCTAATTAGGGCTCGAGAGCGAAATGCCAATAGTTTAAGTAGCCATCCCCGGGTTCGCCGAGCCGATGCTATACGCCCAGTAGGGTCATGAAGGAGGTAGGACGGGAGGGATAGATATTTTGGTGTTTGGGGGACAATTACGCCGACTCAAATCTAAGTACGAGGCGGTACCCCCCTAGACCAGGCAGTTAGTTTTACTCCAAACATTTGGGATTACTGTATGGAGTTCGGGAGTTGTTATTTTGCTGTGGAGCCTATGTTATTGTGTTGCCCAAGCAGAATTTTTTTGTCTTTTTTTCTTAATTTCCAAAATTAAGTATTGCATTTATTTATTAGTTAAATAAATGACAAGCGCAATTATCCTGTTATAATCTAATGTGTTTACAAATCCAATAGAGTTTGATTAGTATGCTGTTTTACTATTTTTGGGTTTTCATGATTTATTGAGTGGTAGTTTATATTCTAAGTGTCAAATGTTTATTATTGGTCTCGTTTGAATTAAAATTAACGTTATTTGTTTAGGGCCGTTCTTAGTTACTGGGTTTCATGCCTTACGCATTTGTTGTTAACAGATTTATTGTCCTATTCACCTTTGGTGTATCACCGCGATAATTCGATTGGGAAGTTTTGTTTTTTGTTGTTTGTCTTTTTTCTTTATTATTTTATGGTATTTGGTTAATATGGTCTAGCATTTACATTTTGTATATTACCAAAAATCTACAGTTAACATTATTGCTGTTTACAATTTTTTAATTACAAAGTGCAAAAAAAAAAATTAAAACCAGACCGTATTAGTTACACTTCGCTTTTGAAGATGCCAACTTCGTTGGCGAAAAGTACTTTAAGCACTTTAAGTTTTGTTTTGGTGTTGGGGAATATTTTTAATATT